TGTTTTTGATGATATTTTAGAAGGTCGAGCTCCAAAGGTAAAGTACATGGTCAACGGACACATGTATAAGTTGGCGTATTACCTCACAGACGGTATATATCCAAAATGGTCAACATTTATCCAATCCATCACACTCCCCCAATCTCCTAAACAAGAGTTATTTGCTAAAGTTCAAGAAGCAACTCGGAAAGATGTGGAGTGGGCTTTTGGAGTTTTGCAAGCTCGATTTGCGATTGTGAGAAACCCGGTTCAAACATTGGACAAAGAAAAGATAGGGAAGATCATGAGAGCATGTATCATACTACACAATATGATAGTCGAAAATGAACGAGATGGATACGCGCAGATCGATATATCTGAATTTCAAGAAGGACACGTCACCAGAAACTCACGGGTGGAAACCGAGAGGCCTACAAATCTCAACAATATGTTTCTCGTTCGGAATGATCTTCGGGATAAGCGTATACATGAAAATTTGAAAAACGATTTAATTGATCATATTTGGAACAAATTTGGTGATGAAGATTAGTAATTGTTGTATCTTTTATTATTGAATCTGTATAATAAATAAAAATTTAAATTTAACTTTTTTTTAAAAAAAAATATTTTTTTATTCTTAAGGACTCCAAATCGAGTATCACCAATGCACACATTATTTCGGATCACAGTCCTTAACTATTCAAAAAGTAAAAAAAAAAAAAAAAATACTTTTTTAATGCTAAGGATTCGGGGGATGGGGATGACCGATGCGGTTGCTCTAAGTAAGCCCTAAAGCAAAAGACTAACATGGTCATGCAACAAAAAAGCTGCTTAAATATGCGATCATTTTTTTTTCAGTCTTTCAAACAGCACATGGTTTTGGTGCTTGATTTTTTTACATTAATCCTAACAGACATTTTTTTGTATGTTGATTAGCCATCCCTAGGCTAAACAACATAACAAAATAAGCCGATACATGCATCAGCTTTGAGTTTAGCACATGAGTGATTTTGATGTTTGTGCTCCATTAGCAAACATCACTCGTTTTAGAGAGAACCCTTTTCTCTCGTGAAGATGCAGTTGCAAGAAGGTGGGAGATGACAATACGACATAACCACCCATATGAAATTGGAGATCACATTGAGGATCTGCAAATAAAAGCCACCTCAAATTCCATAATATGAGGTGGCTTTTAGAGTGAAACAAAAGTGTTGAGAGATAGCCAAAGAGTATCCAATAAACCATAGATGACTCGTGACTTGAGATGACGATTGTGATAGCTTGATAGCTCTATCAAAGGTAAGGAATGAGAGGTGGCTGAAGCGGAAAGCCTGTTACACCTGTGACACAAAAAAACACTCTCAGGGACTTCTTTATAATAATGCATCTCTTTTTAGGCTTTTGTGTACATATAGTATATGTATAATCATAATACGAACCTTGTTGAAGAGAAATGGTGGCAGGAGAGTAATGGTGAAGAGGGTTGTCATAAGCAGAGAAATGGTGATAAAATGGCTGTGGTTGAGAGAACTGGACCCCACCTTGTCCTCCACCGCAAGGATAAAAAGGAGCGGCTGATGCGGCAGCTGCGGTTAGTCCACCGCCTCCACCATTTCCATTTCCATACAGTCCGTATTGTCCCCCTGAGTTGCAGCCGTACACGCCGTATAAGTTCTGTAACACATCATATTACAGATTAAAACGTTATATATATATATTATATGATCATGACATGAATAGCTGTACTATTAGATTGGTTCAGACAGAAAAGAATCTTCGATTCGTTATACAAATTATTCTTAATGTCAGAAAAAGAATAAGGTTACGGACCGTAGGGAATGGAGAGTAATCTGACGAGTATGGAGAGTACCTGCGAGTATCAAAATCAGTGTCTACAAAACAAAATTACAGTGACAACAAGTACGAATACACGTGGTCATGACACAAAACAGCGCATGAAAGCATGTGAGGAGAGAGATACAGTTAAGGAAATGATTGGTGAAAGAAGGAATCAATTTGTTTTACAACCTGTCCGTTGACCACCTTTGTCAGGCATTATTAAGCAGTGAAAATTAAAGAAAAAAAAAAGAGTTATCTAACTACTGATAGTAATAATAGTGTCGGTCCACAAATTAAAAATGGAAATACATCGAAGGACAGCCAGCTATGTTTTATGCAAATTGTTTTGTTCGATTTAATTGATAAAATATGAGCTGTATGGTATCATTCATGCATGCATGGTGATACACTATCATCATGATCAATAATACATGGAAAAGCTAGAAGAAGAAGAGTATACCCAAAGAGATTGAGAGGGAGGTGGGGATAGTGAGTGAAAGTGGGTGGTGGTCCAAAACCAGTCTGCATTGTGCTCATCATCACTCTCATATTGTTAATCCTTCCTCCTCCTACCACATTCATCAACCATCCTCATCATCAACATCATGACTTTGATAATTATAATCAACACGATAGATATGTATCTATGGTCCACTAACTATATATACAATGTAATTTCAATGCTTAATTAGCCACACAAATATCTAATAAATATATAACCAATTTTGTATAGACACTCTAACCATATATTAACTAAGAATTACCCTTTTCTTTTCTTGCTGTAATTTGTAAATAATACACACACACTTAGAAAGAGAGGGGGAATATATATATATTAAACCATGGTTAGGAGTGGAGGGTTTGGATCGTTGAAGACCAAGAGAGGCAAGGTTGCAATTAGCTCTTCTCCCGTCGATCACCGGAGTACCGTCCACACAAGCCCTCCTCGCCGCCTCTGCTTCCTTGAATGTCACCTGAGATCATTAATTACAACTCTACTAATTACTTCCCCTTCTCTATATAAATAGAAGCAAGGATATGTTGTACATACGAATCCGTAGCCCTTGGATCTACCAGAAGCCTTGTCGGTGATGACAACAGCTTCCAAGATCTCCCCAAACTGCTCGAAGTGCTTCTTCATCGTATCCTTGTCTGTCTCCCAAGCTAACCCTCCCACAAACACCTTTGTGTAAGTCGTGTCTCCCAGTCCCAACCCTATTCCTCCCGCCATTTAGTTTTATCTTTATGAGATTGTGAGAGGGACACGAAGGTTAGTAGAAGTAGGCTACAAAAGAGCCTATTTATAAATAGTAGGAAAAAGAGATTAGAGATCCGGGTTAATAGATTCACAAGATAAAAGTTTATTTTTGTAGGGTTTAACTGAGAATAAGAAGATGATGGAAGAGGAAAAAAGAAAAGCGAAAAGAAAATAATAATGATAAAAGTGACACTCGGAAAAAGATGTTTGTATAGACAATATTGTCCCCGAGTTCTCAGTGCTTCTTTCTACGCGCTTCGTTGCTTGTGTATCTCACGGAGCCTCTACTCGAAGGTCTTGTGGTATAGGCGAGGCTTGGGTGTGTTCTTGTTTATTGCATCTCCTACGGTACGTTCAATTATTTAAATGGAGAGTAAAGGAAGAAAATGGAATTTTGATAGATTTTAAAATGTTTAGTGTCCTTATTTTCTGAAGAGCACACATATTATATAAGATAATAAGATAGTTGGTCAAATTTAAGCAACGGTTGAGGTTGAATTTGCACTTGTGATTCATACGGACGTGCAAACCAAACCATTGATTTGATAAGATGGAGTAGATTTGAGGCATAAATTGAATCACTTGTAAATTACTAGTTTGTAACTAGCAGTATATAATGTGTTACAAAGAAAAAAAAGTCGGGCCTAGATTTGTAGAGGTCTTAGAACACCTCCAATGGTGTTATCCACCATTAGAGTCCTTAGCAATATAATAATTTTGATTTTTGTTAATAGTTAAGGATTCGAATCACAAATGTTCCTCCAATGGTGTTATTCATTATAAAGTTCTTAGGAGAAAAAATATTAAATTTTAAAACATGTGAAATTAAAATTTTTATGAGAAAATGACTTAGAAAAATCTAAAAAATATTTTTGTCACAAATATAGCCTATAAAGAAAAAAATGATTAAAATAGACTTTATTAAAGAGTGTAAAACACATTTATACTCTTTGGATTAACGAAGAGTAAAAATGATTAAAATAGACTTTATTACCGACCTAAATAGACTTAGGTTAAGAGTTATGGGGTTTATGGGTTATGATTTAGGTCTTACGATTTAAATTTTTTAAAAAAGTTAAAAATTTCAACAATCGGGCGTTGCCACGTCATTAAGGATCAAATCCTTAAAATATCTTAATTAAGGACTGATCCTTAGCTTAAGCAAATTAAATAATATTATTTAATTCTATTTGCCTAAGAATACGTGTTAAGGATTTTGTTAAATCCCCAATTGTGAGTGCTCTTAGGGGAATTATATGTTTTTTAGAGCATTCGCAATGGTAGAATTCTTAGTTTTAGATTTTTTAATTATTTTTTTCTTTTTCAGATAAAAAAAATACCAACAAATCGCGGACCGCTACGTGTCTTGTGAACCCGCAAATAGTGTAAGAATTCGCTAAGAAAGAATTCTTATTTAGGAATTTTAAGGATTGAATCCTTAATTTTTGACAGAGTCCACTGATTATTTAATTATTTTTTTTCTAAAATTTCCTCCTCAATGATCTCTGTTGTGGATGCTCTTAGATTTGATTTATTTTCTGCTTTAGCTTTTATTTTATGTACAGTTCTTTTATTTCTAGAAACATAAAATTTCAGTCGTATACGAATGTGTACATAGTTTACTTCAAAAAAAAACATGGGAAAATTCTTATTAGGTCAAAATAGTAACTATGTTATATATTTTATGTTCCATTAGGTTAAATATTTTCAAAATGATAATAATATTAATTATAAATTCGAAATTACAATTCACAAATCAATAATTAAATATTAAAATATAATAAATAATTAAAGTGTTGGAAAAAATAAAATAATTAAAGTAATTAAATAAAAAACATAAAAAATCCTCAAATCAAAAAAACCTAAACTTCGAAAGTTTTCCATCCAACTAAAATGATCAATCCCACAAGTAGTAGGTCGATCTTGATTTATTTGCAGAATAAAAATACCACGGAGCATATACTGATCGACCTTGTCCAGTTTACTCGTTCGTCACAGCTCGATCCCACTCGGATCGCCCGATTGCTTAGGTAAAGCCGATCGATCCCGTGCACAGGTAAGCCTCCCAAATCGATTTCTTTTTTTTTTTTGGTTAAATCTGGTTTGATTTTGAACATAACTTTTTTGATGAAACTGAATATTTCTAATTATTTTCTTGTCATATCTTCGGAACTGATTGTCCTTATCGGTAGATATGTATTCTACTATATGTAGAATACAATAATACTAATTTCTACAGGTTTTAGATTTATTATAATATGTAGATTGTAATTTCTACCAATTTTAGATTTACAGTAATGTGTAGATTCTAATTTCTACTTATTTTAGAGGGATATGTTAAGTATAGAATGTGTATTCCAAATAACTTTGAATTAGTATTATTTATGTAAAACATGTATTCTATACGTAGTAGCTTCAATGAAAAAAATTGATTTTGTTTTCTACTTCGTAAAATGTCATCAATTCTACTTTATGTACAACATAATCTAAAATTATGATATAGATATTTTTAGAACTTGAAAAATACTATTAAATTGATATAGGTATTTCATCAGTAGTTACTATTTTTCCAAGAGAAATTCTCTAGGATAGACCTAAAATAGTTTGTGTCACAAATATATAGTACCTAATCTATTTCAACAGGTTCAACCTTTAGTTAAAAAAAAATCTTTTTTGAAAAAAAACCATGTATTGCTTTAAAAAAAGAATCAAAAATGAAGAAACCAAAGAAAACGAAGAAGCCAATCATAAATCTCAGTACAGTGGTTAGAAAATAAAATAATAAATACTTTAACCAACGAAACCAAACCATCTTTTTTTTGGGTGTAAAAACCAAACCATCTTATAATGAAATGGTTTCTCTTTTACAAATTCTCATCTTCTCAATCTATTAGTAAAGTTGATGGGATGTTTATTGTCTATAAAAGCACGTCACCAGAGACCCTCTGGTACATATGTTTGGAACCAGTCCCTACAACTACAAGCAAAGCCACCATCAACTTAGACAACAGTATCTTACAATTAATATATCTATATACATCTTACTTAGTATTAAAGTAATCGGTTTCCAGAATCTTTTATGTTGATTCTTATTTGTCTATTTATACCTTATCATTTTACATAGTTTATATCTATATCAGGATTCGCAAGGGTCGGAATATCTTAGTTGTTTTATATAAATCTGATTTAACTACCTCCTCGTCAACGAACATGTTGTTGTCACAAAACTGGACACTATATACAAACAAAGTCGTGCTTTCCTTTAACTACGTATACTGACCATGTTTTGTGTATAAATAAACCACATTTGCATACAATAATAGCCTAAAGAATCGTTTGTATAATGTAATACGAAAATTGAACATGACTAAATTTTATCTGCCTCTTCTTCTTCCTTTCTTCTTGACTATTCTTCTTCTTTCCGTGGCCGTTACAGAATCCAAATCATACTCCACAACAACGCCTTTCGCAGGACATAAGCCGGAGAAACTCACCCATCTCCACTTCTACTTCCATGACGTAATCACCGGTGACAAACCAACCGCCATAAGAGTCGCTGCACGCCCTGGAACAAACTCCTCCTCAGTCTCATTTGGTGTGGTTCTGATCGCCGACGACCCGTTGACAGAGGGACCGGACCCGAGCTCGAAGGAAGTCGGGAGAGCTCAGGGGATGTATGCATCGACGGATATGAACATTTTAAGCTTCACAATGGTCTTTAACTTGGTGTTCACGGAAGGAGAGTTTAACGGCAGCACCGTAGCCATGTATGGACGGAATCCGATAATGTCGAAGGTGAGAGAGATGCCCATCATCGGAGGCACCGGTGCATTCAGGTTTGCTAGAGGCTATGCACAAGCCAGGACTAACAAACATGTTGGTTTAAATGCCGTGGTTGAATACAATGTATTCATTTGGCATTAATTATTGTTTATGAAATTCCGGAATGAATTTCACTTCTGTTTGTTGTGGTTGTATACGTTGCTGTAATAAATCTTGACGTGTAAGACCATCTCCATCCATTTGAAACAAGGTAAGATTCTAAAAAAAAAAAATTTAATATTTAATTTAATATCTATTTTTTTTTATTTTTTAAAAAATCTTAAAATACTAGTTAGATGACATATGTCTAAAATAAGTTGTTTTTTATAACTTTTCTTCATTCTCTCTCTTAGATTCTTTTTCTTTATTTCTTTATTTTTAAGAATAAAATTCTTATGGTTTAAGTATCTTCGGTGTTGTGTGTAATTTGGTGAGTTGTATTGATATGGCTAGCTCTGTCTAGTTATATGCACAGCAATACTGTATATAAATCTTTAATGAGTGACTGCAATCGCGTGTGGAATTTCATGTTTTGGCCACACATAGGTAAGTACAGTCTCCATTGACTGAAACAAATTGAGTTTAGAATTAGGGGCAATTTGCCCAATATTCATAGTGAAAATAGAAATTAAAAATATAGTTATAATATTGTGGATGAGACAGTTACACCGATTTTTGGACGTTTTTCTCCTTTTAATCGTTAGTATGTCAGAATATGGCGAGTATCCCATTAAAATCATAACACTCATATTAAGCGAGGAAAAATAACATAAGCAGTTCGTATTCATAGTCGTGTATAATACTGAATACTATACTATAATATAACGGCTATAGTTTAGGAATGAAGTGGGTTGTCCACTTTCGATGACTATATTAATCAATGCGGGGGGAGGGGGTTTGGTTGTTGGTACATGGGTAATAGGGTGCGTCTGTACAATACACTCAGAGGGAAAATTGGACATGAATAGAGTTAATAAACAGGAATGTGGAGGGATAATATCTTACAATCGGAATATACTATCTGTGTGGATGGTATAGAACATAATGGAAACATACGATATATCTTAAAAACATAATATGGCACACCTGTATCGAAGAGCAATGGACATGGTGTCCTCGGACTGGAAATGACCCAGAGAATATACTCTGCTGACAAACTGTAATTGGTTATAGAAAACAATCAGCCCTCTGAAAGATAGATGTGGATAAACGTTGACTATAATATAATTTTGATAGTATAGCAAACAATGTACACCATAGTCTATTTGACAATGTGGATTTCGAGAAGGTGGGAAACGAAATAACCCAGTCCCCATGAACTGTACTATTAACGAAATTGCGTAGTATAGAGCATATGTAGTTGAGGCCATAGTGTACTGTAGTAAGTGAACGGAAACATTTCAGTCAGCTGCCCATGTTTCAGTTTTGAGTACTAATGATATACAATCGAGTCCAAACTGAATAGCATATGCATCTGACCATTTTTCAGATTGGAGTGTTGATGATAGACTTAATGGAATATTATGATAGGTGGCGGACTGTACTATTAACGGACATGGGTAGTATAGTTCATACATAAGGGAAGACAATAGCATTTGAGGAGATCATAAGATACTGTACACTCGGGATAATATGGCAAATCATATACAACATACACTATCAGACAAAAGGAGATTTACATAAAAGGAAATTAGTGACGCATATGGAATACTGGAGTGTAAAGAGAATCACCTAATCCACTGAACACAATATAATGACTAAAACATATTACAACCTCCCATTATCAACTGCCCTATTTAACCCAATTAATAGAATATGAGGCATGGCGGGAGGGAGAAGATGACGAGGAGGAAGCGGGGAGGGATATGAAGAGGAGAAGAAAATGAGAGAGATACATATGAGAAGAAGAAGGAGGAGGAGACAGGAAAGCTATACTATACTCATAAATAGAATAGTATACTTCAAGTTGTTAATAAACTAGGAGAATTAGATAGAAGAAAAAAATGGTGCAAATAGATGAGGGAAATGACAATGGTGGAGAATAAGATAGCAGTGATGATGAAACATATGATCGGAGTGGTGGTGTCCATGTTACAAGTGCGATAACAACAAACACAATACACATTTGTTTCTTTTCTATCCAGTCTCCCAATAGTATAGTATTAACATTGTTCATATTCTCCAAATATGAATCTCATCTTGATAGTACAATCACATATTATCAACTGCACTAGTCAATCCAAGCAAAATGAAACACTTAACTCACGAAACATAATAAACACCAAAACATATTACAATCTTATACAACCGGAATGTATGGAAAGGGTTTAGGGTTTACTATAATACATGTTGGATAGTATAAGGCACACAGAACCAGCCAAGGGCTCCATCAAGAATAACAACCGAAAAGGTACCGAATGGTGACATCGGAGAAACTAGATAAAGTTCAATGGTAAAGATCCGGTGAGATGCAACATTACAACATGAACTCAATAGGTGGGAGTACAGACATACCATACTATCAGTAGTATTTCATAGTATAGTTAACAACAAAACGAACAGTCAAGCACTTCTCCTTCGACGCATCAGATAGTGCCTCTTTTATCACCTATTGAGTTCATATTACAATCTCCTATTATTAACTGTACTAGTCAACCCAAAAAAATTCAAAATATTACACGTTACTATATATTTACGTTTTTAATAGTATAACCATAGAATAAAATACTTTCTCCCCCACCCACTAACCCAGAAACTTATGTTGGAAAACAGACAAAGCATCAAATTGAAGTAGTTGTTTATTCTCTTCCGGCCGGTAGGTTTGAACCCAGTCTCAATCAACCGCTCTTGCAAGCCAAACTCCTCCATACTGTACATGTAAAGAAAAATGGTTAAGAACAATAGTGTAATGGAAACACGAATATGAAATATCTTTCGTTTCTATGCTGCCACTAAACATGTATGACTACACTTTAAACATCTATACTATCTACATTTACCAATAGTATATACATCAACCTGCTAACATATTTGGCGGTATTCAAGCTAACATACCACTTCAATTGACAGGTTAGAAGACGGAACAACTTAACTAGATGCAAACCACAGTATATTCCTATATTATATACATGTTAGTTATAGTATTGCCCTCTACAAGGGCTTATACATGTTCTTCAAATCGATGATGATTACACTTTGAACAACTATACTATCTATGTTTACCAATAGTATAGACACGAGAATTTTCAAGTTAAGACTCTACTTCAATTGCCAGAACACCCTTCTTCAGTTGCCAGGTTAGAAGACGAAACAATTAAACTACACATTTCACAATTAATTGTGGAACCAAAGTATATTCCTATACTATAATAATGTTAGAATAGAACAAACTCTCTACAAGGGTCTATATTGGTTCTTCGAATCGATTCGGTGAACTATGAAATCGACATGCATCTGATAATTGAATTCATCACAAACAAGATTGATAATGATTTCTAATGGTTATGGAAATGGAAAAGAGAAAGGCGATTCTCTTTTTACACTCAGTTAAAGGGTATTTTGGACAATAAACTGAACAATATGTAACATATCCTAGCCATGAGTTTGTAATGGGTATGGACTTAATTTTTTCTGGGCAATGAATATACAGTAAAACCTCTATAAATTAATAATCCTGGGACTTTGAAATTTTATTAATTTATAGAGATATTAATTTATGAAAGTTTCCTTATTTAGATTTTTTCTATTTTTATTTATAAAAAAAAATATATTTGATTTTAGCATATGTCATTATTTAAATTTTAGAAATTTGACTTTTATATTGTTTTATTATCTTATTTGGTGTATATTTTTATGTTTCATAGAATTGTTACATGGTTTTCGATGTAATTTAACTAAATATTATCAAAATATATTGAAATGTTTAAAAAATAAAACTATTTTTATAGTAAATATAAAACCCCTAACTAAATACTATCAAAATATACTGAAATATTTAAAAACTAAAAGTATTTTTATAGTAAATATAAAACCAACAATATAATGTTAGATTGTATTTATATAAAATTATATATAGCTAGATTATTAATTTATAATTTTAGTGGGACCATATATTTATATGGCAGTTTTAAAAATATTATTATCTTATTATTTTATCGATTTGTGTTATATTTTACACACCCAAGTTGGGACCGGTGAAATTTATTAATTTATAGAGATTATTAATTTATCGAGTATTAATTTATCGATGTTCTACTGTACATCCAGATTTCCCTTAGAACTACTAGGATGCTTTTGAACCAAAAAAAAAGAAATTACTAGTATGCAATGTTACAAAAACCAAAAAAAATCAAAGCTTAATTCAGTGTCTACTAGAAGGCAAATGTGCAATATACGAAAAATGTAATGATATGCGAACAAAAGGTTCAATGAGCACCTCCAATGGGGTTCTTACGACGAAGTTTTTAGCGGAATATAAAAATCCGTTTCTTAATTTTTAATTAAAAATGTTAAGATATGGTTCTTAAATATTTTATTTTAGAACTGTTTCTTAACTTTTCTAGTTAAAAATTAAGAGACGGATTTTTATCTTTTGTTAAGAACCCCGCCGTAAGATCCTATTATATTCCGGTAAGAACCTCGCCGTAAGATCTCCTCATTGAAGATGGTTTTAGTTTCTTCTAGGTTTGGCAACATTTTTCAATACATCTTCCTGGTCCCTCTAATCTTATAGACCCACGTCAATATCTAGTTGTTTATCTCTCGTCAACGGACATGTTGTTATCACCAAAATAAATTTGAAAGTTGAAAGGATACAAAAAGATTGTTATAGAAACTAAGAAATTTTATGTATAAATATCACAGTTACATACAATAGCATAATGTATCATTCCTTGACTTTGTAGCTTACAAACACATTAATCATGGCTAAACGTTTTCAGCATATTCTTCCTCTCTTCTCAACTATTCTTCTCCTCGTCGTCACAGCTGGAGAATCTGGATCTTACTCCAAAACAATTCCGTTTCAAGGATACCAGCCAGAGAAACTCACACACCTCCACTTCTACTTTCATGACGTCATCTCCGGTGACAAACCCACCGCTATAAGAGTCATAATGCCACCCGTCACAAACTCCACAGCCGTCTCATCGTTTGGTGTGGTTGTGATAGCCGACAACTTGTTGACTGAAGGACCCGACCCGAGGTCCAAAGAAATCGGGAGAGCTCAGGGGATGTATGCGTCGACGGATATGAACATCTTAAGCTTCACAATGGTATTCAACTTGGTGTTCACTGAAGGAGAGTTTAACGGGAGCACCGTCTCTATGTACGGACGGAATCCAATATTCTCAAAGGTGAGAGAGTTTCCGATCATAGGAGGCACCGGTGCGTTCAGGTTCGCTAGAGGATATGCACAGCCTCTGACTTACAGCCTTAGTGGTTTGGATGCTGTGGTCGAGTATAATGTCTTCATTTCGCATTAAAAGTGATGATAAAATTAGACAAATATCGATCGAAGTTGGTACGTACGTGAGGACTAGAGTACTGAACGAAACCGTAAACCAATAACGCTGCATCATTCATACATTTGACAGTAATTGTTTGGGACTCATATTATGTAATTCGAGAATAAATTGTAGTTCCACTTCTTTTGTTGGTGGAACCTGTCGTTGTTGTGTCGTCTAAAGTTTATAAGGTGTGTGGATAAAGCCGCCTGCAGCTGCTATTAAAATAGTTTTTTATACCACCACATGAGCACGTACGATAGATGTTGTCACCCACCCATGACAACTAACTTAGCCAAAGACTTTAGTAGTTAATCAGTACGTGTTGAATTTCCAAACGCAGTGGTAAATACATGGGTGGTCTTATCTATAGCCAAATAAAACATTGGCATAAAACCCCTAAATTTTTTAAAAAAACTTTTACATACAAAAAACCCCCAAAATTCTTTTTGCAAAAAAAAAACTTAGATCATCTCCAATGGTACATCATTTTGAGGGAAAACATCAAAATTTACAGGAAAACCTTTTTCAATAATGCATCATTTTGAGAGAAAAAAATGAGAATATAAATAGTATCCCCTTAAATTTGAGGGAACACTATTCACAAACACGTTCTTACTAATGAAATTTTTATTTACAAATGGACCCTTAAATTTTTATATAGTTTTATTTTCTTTCTAAGAGATTAAATATTTGTGTTTTATACTTTGTTAAAATTAATAATATTTTCATTAATACAATTATAAGTTCATATAAATCATTGTCTTTCCTATTAGAAACTAAATTTATGTACAAAATAAAAAAATTAGTTAAAATAAAAATTATAGTTGAGTAAAATTTAAAAGTTTTTAAAATACATAGCATTATTAAAAAATAATGATAACAATTACTAAGGAAATCTATTTGGAATATTCTATTTAGAGGAGAAAAATGAGGGTAACCATTGGAATAAAACCCAAACTTATTTTGCATTTACATCATTTTGAGGGAGAAAATGATGTAAACCATTGGAGATGCTCTTACGAAACTGTTTATAGTCTCCATAATTTCAAGTCTGTCTCTGGATAAATGTAACATGTCTTTTATTAATGTACATGAACCATTGTCCCTTGATAAATTAAGTCTTCAAATATTTTTATATACATAAATTCTCTGAATTTTTATTGGTATTATTCTTTAATAATAATGACAAGTTTTTAAAGATATGCGAGAAAATAGGTTTTTTCATATAGTTTCAAAAAAGAATGTGAGAATATATTTTTATACCTTGTTGTTGAATGTATTGTTATGAAAATCAATAATAAACGTTCAACTACTGAATGAGCAAGTATTTTTTTGTCAACGAACAAAATTTTTTTTTGGTCAACGAACAAAATTTTTTTTTGCTCAACGAACACAAAATTTAATATGTATTACTTATGTATCTATATTAATAAAACTGAAGTATCTTTTGGTACTGTTTGGAAACATGAATAATAGTATAAAATAGAATTGTTTAGAAACACGAATAACAAATTAAGTTTTTATTTTATTTACATATTTAGCCATTGCATTTATAATATATTAAATATTTTTTTGTATTTCTTTTTATTTACAGATTCTGCCACCGCATTTAAAATCAATTTAAATTAATTAATTACAATGATTGTTGTTTGTTTGTAGTGAAAATAAAAAAAAAACTGAAAATATTGTATATATTATATAATTTTTTTAGATATAGTGTTATCTTATTTAGTTTAGTCAAGTAAAAAAATTTAGATAGTTCAAATTACAAGAAAACAAATATCATAAAATTAATAACAATTCACAGAAAAGTAAGGAAAAATTAAATTTTTTTGTATTTTATTTCATTTTAAAATAAATTAACAAATAAATAATATGTTCATATATAAATAGTACAATTACATCAAATTACATCAAGTTATAAAAATTTTAATATAATATTATGTACAAATAAATTTTTTTATTATCAAACATCTATATTAAAAAATAACATATTCTATCCTATATTTAAATTAAAAAACATAAAAATATATATGAGATTTTTTATAAAACTAACGATTTATGGGTTTACGTTAAACACAAATTAAATCAAACTCCCGCACGGGAAAGTGGGTCAAGTTCTAGTATTCCTTAAAATTGCGTCATAGTATATTAGGTAGGTTTAGGTGACATATGTTTTACTTGATATATATTTTCTGGTTTAGAGATATATTTTTTGTTATTTAAGATTTATGGTTTAGGCTACAACATACATTTATCTGATGGTGCAATATTGAGTATTGAGATATTTATAATTAAACGGAAGATTGAAATGTAATAAAAAAAACAGAAGAAGCATAACACATCTTATGAAATCATCAAGGAATTATTATATATTATATGACCTATACCAAACAAAAATTTAAGATATTTCTTTACAACAATTAAATATATATAGGTATGTCTACATGAATCTGATTTTATTTGGAAAACTGAAAAAATAATTTAATGATAAAAATATGGTTTTACATTTCTGTGGAATTGTGTGTTATAATCTTGTGTTATAACTAAAAACAAAACGATCATTTGGGTTGATTAATAGTAATGGTTGATGATATAAATGTCTTACAATTTAATAGTCCACTATATGAATTAATATTCGTCAAGATATTAAGTAGTTATAGATTCTATGGAATCATCAATTATGTAAAACATAAGAATGTATAGTTTTTTGGTTAAAAACAATTAAAGTTGTTAACCCTAAATATAGGAGAAAAACACTTGTAATAACGAAAAGAAACTAAGAGGATTTAAAAAAAAATATTTTTTTTATTTTAATTGTATTGATTATGACTAAGAATTTATATATTTGTAAATGACAAAAACAAATATATAAGCAATATTGATCAAAGAAATTAATCATATCTTAGAATTAAGATTTTAGTACATGACTCTTTAATTAAATCAAATTAAAAATGTCCTTATTTAGCAGCTTTTTTAACTAATTAAATAAGTTTCAGTTTAAAAAGCAAAGCTTCCTACAAACACATTTGTGGATAAATCCTTGGCAACGACCATCAGGAAAACCTTCACTTATACACACATGTTTGCAATTCCTCCATTTCCAACACATTCCTCTAAAATCTATGCTATTTGCTTTTCATATTTGTTGTCCTTGACACATTTTCATACCTATAAAAAAAATATTCAATAAGAATTCAAATTAATGGCAGTAAATGTAAATATGAACTACCAAAAACTTCACAATTGCTACAAATATTTTTCAATAATTCATGTGCTTAATATTTGATGTAAAATATAATCATTTATAACCATAATTCACGTTTTCATCATTGTAATGCGAGTTTAATATTACCTAAATAGAATAAAAAAGTGTTCAATATATAATGACATTTTTTATATATTATGATTTTCATGTAAGTTGTGGGTTTTAAATATTATACTGAATACTTTTTATATAACATAAATCTATGCATGCAAGATACTTTTATTATATCAAACAAAAGAATCAAAAATATGTGTATAACATGTGTATGTATATATATATATATAATATTTGGTTACATACATATAACTTAATAATATGGAAAATCACCTAGACCCACAAGTAGTATGAATAAAAAGAAAAACTTAGCAATTAACTGCATAAAATTCTACATACTTAGCAACTAGTTTAGTGAAACAATATAATCTAGAGGAGATACAAAGAACTAATGATAATTTTTTTTTTTACTAATGATAAATTAACTTGTATATATATATATATATATATATTGTGTAACTCTATAGTATTATTGTTTAGGTTTATATATATAGTGAATTATTTTATATATAATTTAATTTGTTACTAATTTTTATTACATACTACTATATGTTTTGAAATCGGTATAATAAATTTATATTATTAAAATCAAACAGATTATCTCTTTTAAAATATGATTTTTTTTTCAATTTCTATAATTTGTATACAATACATTTTTAAAATTTCATTTCATATTCAGAATATTTATACTCAAAACTTTTATTTTTGTCAACATAAGTTTTCTACAAAAGAGATATTTGTTTAAGGTGCTATAGATATTGATTATGCAAATATTTTAGATTATGATCATAAAGATGCATTCTATATATTATGGAAATATATATTTATTATGGCGACACATTATTTTAGTAATAGGATTTGCTTATTAAGCTATGTTTCGATAGAGTTATGGTGAGATAATCACAATGGAGAAGAATTTGATTAGATTAAGTCATAGTTTAGATAGAGAGTTGAAGAGTAAAGTTGATGATATGAGAGCTAAGTTTTCAAAGTATTGAAAGGGAATGAAGAACATCAAAAAAGTTTCTGTTTATTGCTTCTGTCTTTGATCCGAGTAAGAAAATGCAATTTGATAAGATGTGCTTTGAGAAAATCTATGGAAAAAAACACCTGAAGCTCATCCAGTTCATGATGTTATACTGATATGTTTAAGGAGTACACTGCTCGTTATAGGAAAGAATCAACAGAGATGTCATCTCAGTCCACTCAAGCATCATCATCTACTGGACAAGATCAAAATTAAATAGTCCAATATATGAATTTATTTTCGTCAAGATATTAAGTATTTATAGATTCTATGGAATCATCAGTTATATTAAACATGCGAATGTATAGTTTTTTTTGTTAAAATCAATTAAAGTTGTTAACCCTAAATATAGGAGTGACACACTTGTAATAACGAAAGAAAACTAAGAGGATTAAAAAGATATTTTGGTTTAATTGTATTGATTATTACTAATAATTTATATATTTTTCACTGACAAAAAATATATAATTGATATTGTTCAAGGCAAGTAATCATATCTTAGAATTACGATTTTAGCACATGTCTCTTTAATTAAATCAAATTAAAAGTGTCCTTATTTAGCAGATTTTTTATTAACTAATTAAATAACTTTTAGTTCAAAAAGCAAGGTTTCCTACCAACACATTTGCGGATAAATCCCTGGCAACCACCATCAGGAAAACCTTCACTTATACACACTTTTTTGCAATTCCTCCATTTCCAACACATTCCCCTAAAATCTATGCTATTTGCTTTGCATATTTGTTGTCCTTGAACCATTTTCATACCTATAAAAAATTATTCAATAAGAATTCACATTAATGGCAGTAAATGTGAATATGAACTACCAAAAATTTCACAATTGCAACAAA